TTAGCCTAAGAGACAGAAAGGGCCACATAAACCAGAGAATGCATCGGCCTGAGACCAGAAGAACTAGACAGTGCCTGGCTACCACCAATGACTGCCCTGACAGGGAACGCAACAGAAAGTTCCTGTTGGAGCAGCAGAAAAGTGGGGTGCAGAACTCAAATTCTAGTAAAAAGACCAGACTTAATGATCTGACTGAGACTGGAGTAACCCCAGAAAGCATGGCCCCTGGAGACTCCGTCAGCCCAGAACTAAAACCATTCCTGAGGCCAACTCTTCAGACAAAGATTTGACTGGACTATGGGACATAAAATGATACTCGTGAAGAGTGTTCTTCTTAGCTCAAGTAGATACATGAGACTAAATGGGCAGCGCTTGTCCGGAGGTAAGAAGAGAAGGCAGAGAGGGACAGGAGTTGGTTGAATGGACATGGGAAATCAGAGGTGGAAAGGAGGAGTGTGCTGTCATAGTACAGGGAGAGCAGTTAGGCTAACATAACAATGTATATATAGATTTTTGTATGCCAGACTAACTTGAATTGTAAACTTTCACTTAAAGTACAACAATAAAATTTAAAAAAAGAAAAAAGACCCCATGTGTGCAGAGTAGAACTGTGTTCCATAGGGTTTTCAGGGCTGTGACCTTTCAGAAGAAAAGTGCCAGGCCTTTCTTCTCAGTTATCTCTGGGTTGGTTCGAACTGCCAACCTCTTCGTAAGTAGTCAAGTACTTAAACATTTGCACCACCCAGGGACTTCAAAGACATACCACTCTTTAAAAAATCTTGTCTAAATTCCTTAGCTTGGCATTCATGGACTTCTGTGATCTGTGATCAATGCAAATCGAATTCCTACTCACTTATGCATTCAATTAGTCAGACAGTCATCCAACAGATATTTACTGAGTCCCTGCTGCATACAAGAAATTGTGCCAGGTAGTGCCAAAATTAATCAGACACAGTCTAGTCTTAGTCCTCAAGAAGCCTATTGTCTAATAGTTCTTTCTTTAATTTGCAAAGAAATGTTCTACAGGAGAAAACATGAGTGTTTTTTGCAAGTCTAGTCAGAAAAAGTTAAAACTCGTGCTGACAAATATTTACAACATAGATACTCGTTTTGTATTGCTAATTTACCTAGGATAGAATCAGATTCAAATTATTCACCAGTGGTCCTTGCATTATTTGATTACTTACCCATATTCAGGTAAACACTTTTTACATTTTATGGTCTTGCTAAACTCTACAGATCTACAAAATATCATTTAAATAAAAAGATTAAAAGTTGGTAATAGCTTACCAGGAAATACAATGTTGTCTGTGTTCCTTTGAGCCTGGCCGATCAGGATAGTGGTAAGATTCACTGTTGGTTTCTTAAATGCGTTAGCTTTCTTCAGCACTGATTTTACTTGTTTCTGAGACTTGAGAACATTTGCAAGACTGCCAGATAATGATCGATCTATATACCAAGTTAAATTAGATAGGGCAGCTTGAGTTTTCATTTCAATTATTGACTCCACAAATTCTGTCAGACCGTTCTGAAGAAGCTGAGTATCAGGGAGGGAAGCCTTTATCCTTTTAGGTATGGTAGCATTCACTTCTGATATACTTGTGGAAGCATTATGACACATCTTTAAAGTTTCATGAAGAGTTTTGTTAAACAAAGAGAAGCTAATTGAAAAATGGATGGATTTTGCTTCCAGTGCCTTAAATCTGGAGTTTAATACCTGCAGCTGAAGAGCCTGATCTCTTTCATTGGTAACCATACTGCCTTTTTTGAGTGAAACATAATAAGGTATGAGGGTCTGGGTCACTTTAGACTCAATGCCTTGCAACCGAGTTTCATAATTTCTGGAAATCTTTGTGACTGAGAGTATTTTTTCTTCCAAGTGACTCATATTTTGATGGTATTGTATCATTTTGGAAGTGGTTTCATTTAACATTTGATAAATCTTTTGAAAATTGGCCTGACTTAGTTTCTCGTCTTTAGGAATATCTGCAAGGGCCTTGGCAACTTGCAAAACAAAGTTATATCTCTGGTTATCATTGACCAAAATCTCAATAGAATCATTCAAACGTTGAAATTGAGGAATAAAAGCCAAAATAGTGTTCATATTTTGGGTACATTCATGATGAACCTTGGGGTTATACTTTATACTACTTAAAGTCTCTTTTAGTACATAGTTATCTTGAATAAAATCAATGGCATTATTTATTATGGTCATTGTCTTATTTAGGCCATCTTCCATTTCTAAAGCATGTTCATTGATACGTCTTTCTAAAGTATCGCCATGACTCTGTACTTCATTTCTCAGTGAGTTGTGTCTTTTTGTAAGTTCTTTGATAAGAAAATTTATACTGTTGATCGCACTAGCCAGATTTTCCACTTTTTTCCTTGTTGCTACTGCTTCCTTTGTTTGTTCATAAGTTACTGTCTGTTTTAATGATGCTCCCTGTTCAAGCAAGGGTTGAAGAATCTCCATATCATAAGTCAAATCTTTCAGCTGCTCACTCATTTTATCCATCTTGTTGTCCATTGGAAAGAGAAAGTCGGCCAATGTTTGGTTTAAAACGTGTAAATTCTCTTCTGTGTCCTTAATTCGAAACTTAAAATCATTTCTGCACTTGGAAAACATGTCTTCACATTCACCTCTGAC